ATCCGGTCCTACAAGGGAAGATTTTGACATTAATATTTCACGTATTATTCCAGATTTTGGTCAGTCTGTACAAAATGAACTGGAAACTTTTGTAACAACGGAAAATTTCCTCTTTCCACCGGGTGTTGCACTGAATTAAGCTGTAATAGAACGTGTCTTTTCTATTGTAGTAAGTGTTGCGACAAAAATTCCATTATGCATTGTTGGTGCACCGGGTCAATCAAAAACGCTAAGTTTTCAGATCGTACTACAAAATCTTCAAGGATCGCAATTATCGCCCAAACCATTTTGTACAACGCTTCCCGCGATCGACGCATTCTTTTGTCTCGGCTCCAAATACAGCCATTCTGGCTACATAGCGGCTGTTTTTGAGCGTGCTATAAAGCGCGAACAACACTATTCTCAAAATCAAATAAACACACGTTGCGTTGTATTCTTAGATGAAGCAGGATTACCGGATGAGAAAAAAATGGTTCTGAAAGTGTTGCACCCATATTTGGATGAAAGCAAAGTTGCATTTGTAGCTGTATCCAACAAACTCTTTGACGCTGCTAATGCAAACCGAATGATGTGCATTTTCCGATCCTTGCCGTCTCAAGACGATCAAAAAACGCTGGCATTCGGTTGTTTAGGAATAGAAAAGCCAAAAATTAATGCTGCTGGCCACGTAGAAAAGATCATAGCGGGTCTTTGTCGAGCATATCGTGAAGTTTTAAAATCGACTGTTATACCAAAAATATTCCATGATCGAGACTTCATTTATATGTGTGGAGAACTACGCTTCGAACTCAACAGGGACATTTCGGCATCGGATGCTCTTGATGAAAACTGGACCACAAACGCAAATGTTTTCAGCCTATTCACACATTCAAATTTATTGAGGGCTCTCGAAAATAACTTCAATGGAATATCAAAATCTGAATTCAAACAATTAGTCACCATCTTTTTCGCTTGTATCACTGACGAATGTAAAATACCATTTCCACCACCTAACGACAATGAATATCGTAGTGCTTTAAATGTTTTACGGGATTCAATGAAACTGGAATCATCAAGACGACGATTGTATGGCCGATACAAATGGATCATTGACGAAAGTGAGGATGAATCAGTATCACGTTTACTATTTGAGGTTGGCATACTCGAGCCAGGCTCTCAGGACACAGAGATATTTCGAATGTCTGACTTTGAGGCCGATGTCGATAACGAGCTACGCAACGTTGAATTACTATCTGTATTGTTAAAAAGAAATACAAACATTGCAAGAAAGGTACTCAGACTGTGCTTTTACGCATAATCCTTCTCTTTTTTTTCCTGGATTTTACCCTTCTTCCCTCTACATAGCAAGAACTCTTCTTCCGAAAGTATAGAGTAGGGCTCCGGATAGCATATCGTTGCACGTTCGTAAAGGCACATAACCTCTGATTTTACGAATGAGCCGGATTTTCATGTTAAACAGTATCTAGAAAAAAGGCTTTTATCATCTAATGAATTAGATATCGGTCAATCGTTGTTTATGCATGATATTTTCTTTTGGGACAACTTTAGGAGCAGGAAGGATTGGAGGCTAGGAAACTTTTTTCGGGTTAAACAAATGATTGACCAATCATGAATCTTTTTTATGTAAATGGCTGGTCTTTATAGCTCGTTTTTCTGAATGATGCATTAGAAACATAAATATATACGCAGTTTTAAACTTTATTATATATAAACGTATAATCCTGTTTTAAAATGATCTTTTCTTCTTCTTTTTATGGTTATTGCAATTTTTTGATTTGTTATGGATTACCTCTCGATAGCTGTGTCACTAAGGAGGCTGGCTATATGTTTCCTATTATACTTCCCTACTGTTTATTATAATTTTATATTGTACTTGTTAAGTATGATTAACAATCATCTTGGTGATTTTTAAAATGTGCTGGAAATTTTTGTGTACTCTTTTATTTTTGCAAGTGCCTAAGGGCATCGCAGTAAAATACAAAATGCAAAAAACAGTAAATAATAATTCATTTTCATTTACGATGATGTTCAGTATATTCTAACCTTTTTCATAGTTGCTCGTCTATGTGCAGATGTCATTTCTTATACACGATATTACATAAAGTGGCGCAATTCAAACGTCGAGCAGGATTTTATTTTTCGATTTTTTCATCATAGTTGGATATAGGAGTGGGATAGTTTCAGTTCAGTTGTTTTGAGCGGGAACTAATACCGGTTCTTTTCAAGAATTCAAAATCAAATAGAACTGGCGAAACCAGCTACACACTTACTTCATTTAGTCCACTAAACGCACCATATTACCATACAGAAAAAGTAAATTTCATAATTTTAGAACACATTTTTCGATTAGAAAAATTTCACATATTGGTTTTTCAAATATAGGTGAATGTAAGCAAAATTTTTAATAAAACTCAAAATTCGGCCTTACCATTTTTTCCTTACTCTACATCCAAATCTAACTCTAGAAAACTGCTTTTTGGAATTTTAGAACTTGAAATGAGCTCAAAATCCATGGAGATAAAAATATTTATTTTGCGTCATTCTAATCCATATACTTGTGAGAAAAAAAGTATGCATCGGCTTTAGAATAAATTAAATCTTTATTTTTTCAAAATTAAACTTAACAAGGAGGAACAGCATTTTTCCTTTGACGATACATCAAACATACTAATGCAGTTGATACATTTAGGATGTCCATCTCTCTTTCATGACAACATAAACGATTGATTTTAGCGTTCGCGTGACTTTTCTGCTCTTTTAGCATCCAGAAGATACTAACTACAAAATCTAGTGTGGTTTCTGTCTAAAATTCGTAAGTAATCTTTATCATAATTTTTTAAATCGATGTTGTTCATTTTTGGTCATTATTTTGTAATAATTTTATTCAACCAGCTCTTTTCATCTGTACTTGCTTTATACTACTATTTTTTTATTGTTCTTGGTTTGAGTTAAAAGAGGAAAATACCGTCAGTCTCATTTGTTAGAAAATATGTGATCTAAAAACATGTTTTTTCAGGTGAATTACAAGTAGTGAGACTAACACAAGTAGTACTTTAATAAGACGAGTAATACTTTTCTTTCGATCGTTGTAAAGGTAAATATACGGAACGCTGAGCTGTACAGAAGATTTGTTTTGATATTTCCATGTATTGACAGAACTCTTTTCATCAATCCTCTTCCAAAAGGACAGTTCTAATTAAATGCTGTACTGAATAAAACTGTCTATCCAGTACTTGAAGGTATCTATCTCTTTGAGAATTTTTTTTTCTTCTTTGGTGTCATTAATGCTTTTAGTGAGATACATAAAGTTAATGCCTTCTAACTCACATCAACTTATTCTTGTAAGGCGAAACACGTATAGATTATCTGCCAATCAAATGGATTGCTACGAGAACTAACCTTTAATCTTAAGTTTAACTCAAGCTCAAAATATCATTTTATAATCAACTTCAAAAACAAAAAAAGCTGTACCGCAGAGCAGGTATGACATTTTCTCGGCACCATATAGTAAAAAAACTAATAAAGTAAAAATAAGTCAAATCGATATGGGAGTTAAGAAGATTGTAGGCAACATCTTTAAAACAATTTAGGTATCGGATACTCGGATTAACATGTATCCAAAATTCTGGGAATTTTCTCGTCATTTTTCCTTCCCTCATTCGATTGCGATTAGCCACTCGAAGCCGCACAATCCATACCATCATACGCTATTTGTAGAACTATATCAAAGGAAAAAAAGTTTTTCAAAATATAACTTTCTTGCAGTGAGGAACTCTCGCATCAAAATTCTCATACTTTTCTCTAACGGTCTTTCAAATGTTTCAATAGAATACCGCTCAGTTTTTTTGTTATTCAGACGTTCTATTTGAATGTTAACATTATAGTCATCTTCATAAACATCACTATACATTTCAGTTGTCGATCGACCATCATTGGCATATTCATCGTCTAATGGGTATGAATCGTCTTCGGTTGTTATTGTTGTTGTTGAATCGTCATTATACAATGAATCAAAACACATTTGTTTTTGATCGTATGATATTGATTTAGCAAAACCTAACCGTTTATGTTCTAAATCAAATATTGAATAATATCGAGTTAAAAACGCATCGCCTAATATCCATAATGAATTTCTATGTGAATCTGTTAGATCATAAAATATTGATACAAATACACTCACACATACATTTACATTATTTTTCAAAGGTATTAAATATTGATTTGGTTGTAATTGAAATATTCGCTCATTGATTTGAAATTGAACGGGTAGTAAATGAGTTGAATAATTACATTGAATGGTGTACTAAATAACACAATAAAAATTAGTAATAATGATTTGTGGTTTCAATACTTACAAGCCCTCTGCGATAATCATATTCAGAACCAATAAATTTATTAATTTTACGTATTTCGATCGAAGGACCAACGATAAATGTTGTTCCTGTGTCAGCTATAGCATAACATTTTGAACATATACTTTTATCACCTATATTTATACTAAAAAGGTACAAAAACAAATCTTTGTCAGTATATCATTTAAACGTGATATTCACATGTAATGCAAATTCTAACCTGTAACTTTCATTTTACTTATCTCAGTGGGGAACAAAAAGATTCGATAGGCTGACTCTCACTTTTGCTTTAAAGTTTTTTCTCTGATTTTTCTCTTTTTTTTCTGATCTATATTGATCCGATTTTCATTCACTCACAAAATAAAACAATTATTAAGAAGGAAAACAAGAGAGTTCTACTGAAGATACCAAGGAATATTCTCATCAGCATAATAAAAAAACAGATGAAACAAACCTTGAAGCTGAAGTATTCATTCAAAGACATACCTATCCATCAAGAATTCCCAATCTTTTTGTCCATGAATAATATTAACCCATGTTATTGTGCCTTCATATTTTGTTTGATCAATACCACCAAATATTAATTCGTTATCGTCTTCTGCTGTGTAATTCCTTATAAACAGCAGAGAAATAGTTCATTAAATTAGACACATTGAAAATGAATACAAACGCATTAAAGTAAAATGAAAATATTGGCTTTTCAATTAAATTTTGCTTCCACATATTATGGCATAATGATAAACGTATATCAGATGTTGAACAGGATAGACCTAGAAGACCATCATATTTATCTGTTTCAAGAAATCTGGTATCATCAGCTTGACCAAATAATTGATTTTTAATAGATAATGAACCAATCTAAAAACAACGACAGATATTCAACGACAGTGATTGCAGTTATTATTTTTAAAAAGTAAAAGTCAATCAACTTCAATCAAACAATACAAATTATTACTCACAGTTACTGTGTCGCTCACATAAATTCCGTTTGCATAATCTCGATCAGCATAATCAATTCGGAAATATTTACCGTTTGTTTTATATGTTGATGAATTCAAAGAATTATATAAATTTCTATCATCTAAACATGAAATGTACTTAAACTTCGTCTGTCATTATTACAACTAGTAAAGACATCGTATTAAGAAACTTATGAAAAAATACAAGGTGAGGATTCTTACACATATTTCATGATTAAAAATACAACGAGTGCTGTTCTTTCCTACTTCTTGCAAATCAAGAATAATGCAGAAAGTTTCTTGCCAGTTTAGTCAACAGATGTGGTTGTTGAAGTTATAAAGTGTAGAAAACAAGCTCATTTGCATGATCTACGAGACATTCCTCAAAGAAGAAAAAGTATGAATTTAGATTGTTTGAGGATGATCTATCTGAGCAAAAAAACACTTGAAATGAGAATGTAATGTTTTTGGATGGTTAAGGTCGTTCTTTTCTTATATCATGGCTGGAACTTGGAAGAAGTTATCGATCTCAGAAAAATTTCAAGATCTTTTTATCAGGAGAAAAATTACAGTTTTCAACCTTCAAGGGTGATATTTCACACATTTCTAACTTAGTTTGAAGTTAAACGAAAACTAGGAATTAAATTCAGATCGTTCTGAAATTAGATAAAATTAAATCTTTTCTGATACTTTCGTGGCACCGATGTATATTTTCAAGATATTTTTTCGTTTCTAAGCCACAAAGATCAGTTAGTGAATTATTAGATGAGGTGACACTGGCGTTCTTTATTATTTCAAAATACGTCTATTTTTCCCCATCAAACCACATGGTCTTAAAGTAAACAAATTTCTTCAAATCGTTCAAAAAAAAGAAAATGCTTCGGGGTTGTACCGAATAAGAAATGCTTTTGTTGTTTGTACTCATACAAATGAAAGTATGAGCGTGAAACACGCACCACTTGACAATGAGAAATGTTTGTGAAAGAAGAACAAATTTAAAATTATTATTTCTACAAGAAGGAACAAAAGATGTAGCAGCAATATTTAAATGAATTTTCGAAGATGTACGGTAGTGAAAACATGTATTGTTCAGAAAGAATGGGCATTAATTAATGACTACATCATTTTAAACGTTAATAAAACAACTAACGTTCATCTTCCATTCACTCGATTCTGACTGAAAGAAGTTGGTTCTGATGAAGTGACCTATCACGGGAAGGATGGATCAGGCCTTCCTACGGCTGAGTTTCGCCGTCGCATTCCGTAAAAAGGTTTTGCGCCTGACTTAAATTTAAAGAAATCCATAAACATCTTTCCTTTTGAGGAGCTCTCTGCCATCGTGTAACAGACTCTCCATTCCACTGCTACGAATGCCAGTCTACAAACACTATAAAGAACGCCAACAAACCTGCTTTCTAACGAAGACTCGGTAGGGACTGATGAATTTCAAAAAACTTTGACCAACAGGATCTCTCCTACAGACTGTTCATATCCATTTTCTGATTTGCTCTAGTCGATTACCTGTACTATATCGTTTGCATTTTAAGGAATTTAACCTCCGCTGCTCGTTATTACGTTTTAAGTTTTGCCGATGCCGATATTTCTTTCAGTACATCATTAAACTTTTGATAAAACAACGTACAACATAAAGAGCGAGGACAGTTGACTGATGGAACCCATAATGTGGGCGAACCAGTATCAAAAATAACAGTAAAATATTGTGTGGGTGTGCCAATACCTATTCGGCCATACCAATATAACTAGAATATAGAGATAATTTAATAGAAGCAACTTAATAGTACGGCTTGGCCAAACGTTACGGAATTTCATTTTTTAGAATTTTGAACCCTCTAGTTTTTGACACGGATGAGCCTCAGAGTTAAAAATTTTATTACAAGTGTAGTTAGTGAAGTTCTAGCTGCGGTGAAAATTTGAACTCTCTGGCTCGTATTTACAGAGAGAAAACTTGAAATTACTCACTGTTACGGAATTTCAAAAAATGGAAGTAATTTTCGAATGTTTTCAGTATAGCAAAAAATGCTTCGAATGTAAATGTGCTATGAACAAATTCCGCACGACGAAGTTGTAGGTAAATATGAGAGCTATTTGAATATCTATTTGCTTTTTTTTTATTCTCACTGCCAAGTGATGAAAAGAGGAAAGAGTAGTTGTTACGGAATTTCATCTTTTTTTCGTTTTGTTTATTGTAGAAGCTTTTTCTTCTATATTTCTGTAGATGCGTGCATAAAATAAACTGCTGGGTGGTTTGTTTCGATTACTGATCATATCCATTTATTACGTTAACATAAAAAAAGCACAGTTTAATCACCAGTGAAATTATCCTGTATTTTTCGAGGAATAAAACGTAATGATTCCGCATGGGAGAAACACGCTTAAAAATAGAATATTTGACTCTCAGTACTATTTGAATAATGACGTATTGCTATTTTATCTGTATCTAGTACAGTTAGTGAGTGAACTTTTTGAATAGCAGGTACTGATTTAACACGAGCAAATAGAGATGTCAGAGCTTATAACAATACTGTTTCTTATTTTTCATTAACGAGGGAAGTTCCCCAACTGTTCGCTTTCCGAATAAAACCTAGTGAATACTAGGTTATCGACCATGCGGATTGCCCTTAGCCCTTCGAAGATCCGATTTTCCGGAAAACTAGTTATCCAGAAACTCTAAAAAATAACCAAAACTTTTCTTGATGAGGCACAATTGTAGCCCGTAAATTTCTCATTAAAACGAGACATCTCCCAGCTCTACATGACCTTTCTTTGCAAAGTTATAGAATTTATAAGAAAAGACCTAAATGTTCATTGTCAGCTCCAAGCAGCAGAAATAGGAAGAAATCAATTTAAGTCTTTTCATGTAAATTCTGTCACTTGCAAAGAAAGGTCATGTAGAGCTGGGAGATGTCTCATTTTAATCAGAAATTTACGGGCTACAATTGTGCCTCATCAAGAAAGATTTTGGTTATTTTTTAGAGTTTCTGAAAAACTGTTTTTCCAGAATACCGGATCTTCGAAGGGCTAAGGGCAATCCCCATGGTCATATTGGGAATCAGTATGGTCGATAACCTATTATTCTCCAGTTTTCGTTTTCTATTTTTATTCTAGTTTTCGTTCGGAAAGCGAACAGTTGGGGAACTTCCCTCGTAAGTGAAATTCCCGGAAAAAAGTGGAAGTGAAATTAACGCTGCCTTTTGCAACTATATCGTATCACTTTTGAAATAAAAAGTAGTTGAAAAGATAGCCCTAGAAATACAGAATTTTAATATGCTAAATGACTTATAGAATTCTCCTAGCTTGTTTGAACAATTTTTAAAATACCGATTTTTCGTTACGGAATTTCATTAAAAATGCGCAAGTTTCCTGATTAGTTTTCAAAAGCACGTAAAAGCTAGAACAAGAATCGATACGATCAGTAAACAGAACAACTTCTTCTCTATCCAGCAATGTATTTTTCTTAAGCTGAAACGTCAAGAAGGACGAGAGAAAATAATAAAAACATGTGGTATCAAACGTACCACGTTATTGATGATTCATCTCAATGTTCACCGAATACTTTCCATGTGTTCAGGTACTAATAAAAACAAACGAAAATTATTTTCCTACCACCCTCACCCTCACCCTCCTACACTTTAAAGTGTGCTCTTTCACATAAGATTAGTTTTACCACTTCATTTAACGCTTCGTACTTCGGTACTCTGGTGTACCGTTAGCTGGCCAAGCACAGTAATAACTAAGTAAAACATACGTCCAAATGATTCGATAATTTTTCATAAACTACTTTTCTCGTGTTATTATTAAATTTATGTGCATGATAATGTTTTATTGTTTGGTTTGCTTTGCGATAGATTGGTATTCTAAATTATCAGAGACACAAACATCAGCATATTATTTGATATTCTTTTTTTACTCAACCGTGATAGTGATCGTGTCGAAGTATAACCGGCAATACAAGCAACAACATTAATCAACACATACAACACAAGTAGTTGATGTATCGTCATTATTACGATCACTCTAAATTATAAACAAAAAGAAAACCAATTTATAGAAGAATAAAAAAATGACATGACAACATTAGGCTTGATTTTTGCTCTGATTCAATGTCGGGGTTGTATTCTTCATCCACATAGCATTAAAAGAACAAATGATATTTTATTTTTCAGGTGAGGAAGTGTAAAGAAGGAAAAAACCAGCAGCAGCAAAAAGAAACAAGAATTTTATTAACAAATAAATTCCACTAGTTGAGCAAGATTTCCGGATGGAATGTGTAATTTTATTCTTCAGTGGACCAAAACTAAGATTTTTCATTTGTCGCATATACTCACACTAAGACAGTTTCTTAACTTGAAAATTCTTTGTTTGACACGTCTAATATTTGAAGATCTCAATAATGCACTTTCTGCAACGAACAGTTATAGAACAAAAAATACAATCAGAGGCGGTCCAACCAAGTCCACTCTTCCTCTCTCTGGAAGTTTTGACCGCTGTGAGGTGCTCTGAATGCAAACAATTCTGGTCAGCTACATGGTTCTCTATCGCTTTTACAGCACATTCCGATGATCTTCTATTCACAAATCAATTTCTCATCTTTTTTCAACTCAATCTACATATTTCCTAGATATGTAGTTGATTTTTATACTAGCCGTCTGACGTCTACCAAGAGTGGGAGTAGAAAAGCATCCGTAGAAGTTTTCGTAACTTCTACAAAAAGATGAAAACCTAACCATATGATACTGGAAGACTTTTTTTACATCGTCTCATTCCCAAAAGATTTACCCATGGAACTTTTTTGTTCACATATCGATTTTTGTAGCAAAGTAATTTGCCTCTTGTTATTACTACACTAATTAGGACTCACCGAATTTCATGTATAATCGTACTTCGACTTGTGTGGTAAAGTCACTTACGAGAATCGTTCTCTTTTGGAATGAATTTGGCTGCTACCCGCTTCAAGGAAAGTTCAACCTTTCCATACCGATCAAAAAATAGGACATATACCGGGTGTCCGAAAAGTTACCACCCAATAAAAAATTTTAATAACTCGGCTATTTCTTAATCAAACTTCAAGATTGTTTTTTTGTTTGATAGAGAAACGTTCCAAGTTTTATTTCATACGATTGGAAACTCTTGTTAATATTTGAAAAAATGTTCGAGTTTATTATAGTGAAATTCAGATATTTTGGGACTCTTTTTTAATAAATTATGTACTGCAAAACTTTTTGAAAAGAACATAAATAATTTTTAATATTAAAATAAAGTAGATCATGGCGGCTTTCACATAATGAAATAATAATTTGCTTTTGTTTAAAAGTGACTGGTTGGTGTGGATTTCTTCAGCCATTGTTACTGCATACTAGCATCTGGAAAAGTGCACAAAGGTAATAAAAATATTTTTCCGATAAAGTTAAATAATAAAAGGAAAAACTACTAGTGGAATTCCATACAAAGAAGGTAGCCCTATAAACTGGAATATTTTGAAAGCCTGTAAAATAGTTGTATCAGGCTATTGCAGAAGCCGCAATTCGTAGATCATGCTAATATGGAGAAATTAACTTCTTGTAGCAAAACTGTAAGCTGAACAAAATACTTGAATATGTGGAATTGTAGAGTAACCTGAGTTCTACAAAATGAGATGTAATGCAGCTCTGACAAAGATTCCATTTAATGACGACAAGCTCAATAATCTTTACGCACTATTACAAGCACTTACACAGAAAACATATGTTGTAAGTTTTATTATTTTTCCGTACTGATCTTTTTTTACACAAAAATTTCAGATCATATGAAATAAAACTTGAAACGTTTCTCTATCAAACGTTCTCTATCAAACAAAAAAACAACCTTGAAGTTTGGTTGAGAAATGGCGGCGTTATTAAAATTTTTATTGGTTAGTGACTTTTCGGATACGCGGTAGAGATCTTATCCATCGTACCGAGTTCTACATAGCATTGTTCTAGGTTTTACCAAATTATTTATGATTCACCCACATTCCTTTCTTTGGCGATGTGCCATCTGAATAGTGCAGAATAAGTCAGTATTACAGAATTAAATAAAAGCTGTTACATACGTGAAGGCATGTGTCGCATGTGCGCACTAGGTTTCTCGTAATCACTAGTGAAATTGCTCTTTCTTTGATAAAATATCGCTTTTCCATTGCAACAGAATATGCATAGACCGACCTTTTGTTCTTCGGTTTTACCCCGAAATAATTTATAATCTCAAACTTCCCTCGCATTTTAAGTAGAATTAAAAGCCCTTTGAGTGCTTTAAGTTTGCCAAATATGTAAATCATAATGCACGGAATAAAGAACAGTTCTGTTACATAAGATTTTGGGAACATTGAGTATGAATGGAATGAAAAAAATCAAATCTCTTTG